CCGTAGGGTCGGACGAGGCCCCAGTGCTGCTTTTGTTCCCACCACCACCACATTGCAGCTCCATGCCCTCGGGAATGGGCAGGGGTTTCCAAGTCGCACCACGGTCGTGGGTAATAACAGTACGTAGAGTGCTGTCCGGATTGAGCTGAGTAGCCAGAAAAGTTCCACGCATAGAGGCTACACGGAAGAAGTCAGTCACAGGCGAGTGATTCGGATAGAGGTGACGTCTCAGAGACTCTGAGAAAACTGTACCAGTGGAATCGGATACATAGAGCGTCCCGTAACCAGTATCTGTGAAAGAGGGCATTTGTACACAGAGGTAGTTGTAAAAACCACAACAAATCTTGAAGATCGTTCAAAAATTGAACAGTAGGCATAAAAAGCATGCTAATTTGACAATAAAATATTCCCATATGATAAACATATTTCGCCCTGTCGCGAAAAATGAGCTGGGTGTAATAGCGCGGAGAGATGAGGCAATTTCTTGAACTGGCTGACCTGTGCTATATCACATTTGTTACAGCTAAGAAACACATTAGGCAGGTCCCTAATGGTTAAAAAGGAGCGAAACACCAAAATGTTACCTAGTTACTGAAAAGACTTGAGTGTATTATTATATATTCTTTAAAATGACACAGAAGTAACATCGTCAGAAGAAGATCAAACAAGTTCGATGCCGATAAACTGTATCAGTACTTTCGTGACAGCAAATGAGTGCACAAAAAGAGAATTCGAAGACTTCAATAAACAAGGTCAATTCAAGTAATTTTACACTTCGTTTGACCCGCTACGAGACAAATTTTACTACTTTTGCATCTGCAAGACTGCTTTCTTTCAGACTACGGTGGCCTGCCTACCCGAAGTTCAAGCAAAAGTCCAGACGTGCACTCCTAGTGGGGTTTAGTAGGGATCTTCGTTTTCCGTCGTATTGTACAAAGATAGAGGGTTTTCATGTATTCGCAGAAGTGGACAATGTTTTTTTGTTTGACAGTAAGGTAAATTAGATAGGACGGGAAGAGAGTTATACAACGGCCCTTGTTAGGTCCTCTAATTTTTAATTCATGTGAGCAGTGACTAAAAATATGCCTCAATCGTATCCGTTTAGTTTTCCTATTCTAAAATAAATTTGATCGAGTTAGAGTCGTTCACATACACAGTTAGTATAAAAAGACCGGTTTGAACAAGGGGAAAGTATTTGACTTGGGTGAATTATGGAAACCACAAGCTTTGCTCTGTAAGCCTCCTGACAAAATTCAAATGCACGAGGTCTGTTAGAAGAGGCTGTAAGTATACCAAGACACATATCATCCTACACTTTAGGAAGAAATTTGAATATCTTTGAGCAAGAAAAGGACAGCTTCTGTTTAAGTCGAAAGAAACCAGTTGGAAATTACGCATGGTTTTTAAGCTGGCAATGGGACTTTATTAATTTCCTTGTTGTTTGGAAACATAAAACTTGCTAATACAAGCAAACATGCGAGTTCCAGGAAGTAATTGAGAAGTAGAGGGCAACTCGATAGCTGGGACACTATGTTTATTTGCCTGACGTTCAAAATCCGTCGCGGATTCATCTTCAGAGAAATACTCACAGAACCGTAG